GCAGACTCGTTTTAAAGAGTCTTAATGCTGAATGCTTGCAGGCTTCGGGCTCTCATGTTGGACCCGTGTTCGTTCTGTGCCTCCGGTCCTGCGATAGTAGCCTGCTTGCTGGACTCCTCAGTCGACCAGTTCCTTCAGGGAAGACCTGCAGGGTGGTGGTGGTGGTGGGGTCTGTTTCCATCAGTTCTCATGGCCGTTCTTTTCCTTTCCCTTTCCTTAGGCTATAACTACTCCTGCCATGGCAGTCAGTCACATTATGCTGGAATCTTACAAAAAGTATATCCTAGTTTCATTGATACTCCTCGGCAAAGTGCAACAGCTTCCGAAGTACACCTCCCAGATAGTGGGTCGATTCATTAAGGTAGAAATCACGTCATATGGGGCAGTTAAGAGGCAGGTGGGGTGGTCAGGCTGGCACAGAATACGAGGCGGAGAAAAACAGGAGAGTTTTCTGTTCTGCCTGAGAGGGGAAAAAAAGAAAGGAGACCAGAGCGGGATTGTGGGGTAGGCTGAGACTGATTAGCATCTCTGCCGTTAATTGGGGCTGGAACCTGGAACTAGGTAGCAGCGGGCAAGGTTCTGGGTTTGGTTGCTGGAATCAACAGCTAAAAAGGAACAAGAGGAAAGCGAGGCGGATGATGGGGAGAAGAAACCCAGGAGTTGAGGGGGCCGCCTCCGATCTGGGTCGTCCTTACCGGGTTTGGTGGGCCAGCTTTTGAAACCGTTTGTTCCTGGGGGTGGCTTATGTGTTATCACACTGAGCTTCCCTAAAACCCACCTGGCTTTCTCGTTGCAGCCACTTAGCAATGCCTACCACGAATTAGCGCAAGTGTATGCCACCAATAAGCCGTCGGAGCTGCGGAACCTGGTGAACAAGCATAGCGAGATGTTCAACCGGGATAACAACATGGGGCTGGTGAAGCAGTGCTTATCGTCTCTCTATAAGAAGAACATTCAGAGGTTAACTAAGGTAAGGCGGCTGCTTCTGGGGTTTTGGCACCATTGCAGTTCAGAGGGGGTT